TTCCAATCTGGCACACAGGGGCCTCCTCTCTTTGTACTAGCCCAACCCACAAAGGACAAAAACTGCTTTTTCTCCAGGACCCATTCATCAGCTGTTTCATATATCTGCCCCAAGATCTGTGATGCACAAATTGTTTCCTGCTATTAATCAGGAAAGCAGCCACTCTGTTCAAAGGGACATGACACCATAGATGAAGCCACATGTGTAGACAGTCTCACTGGGATGCAACAAAGGACCAGATTAGAACTACCTTACAAGAACTGCAAAAAAATCCCAAATGACCTTTTATTTGCTCAAAAGCCTCTGCATCATTCTTCAATTTGAATTTTCCCCACACCCTATTACTATGTTATCTGTTAACAGGAGCAGATGGGATGAAGGGGTTGAATTGTCAAAGAAACCATGTCAAGGTAAAGGGCTGGTCTCTTTTCCCCAATACCAGGACCCTAATCCAAATTTGGAGGCACTGTGATTTTTTATATTATTATTATTATTATTATTATTATTATTATTATTATTATTATTATTATTAAAAATGGCATCATGACAGTGCTGTATCTAACTACTCCACAAGCCATCTGATATGATTCAAGGACAAGTCTTGCAGCAGAAGAGGAGAACTCTATCAGTGAATATTTTCTTTCTCTGGCTAGAGAAATCTATCACCACCACCAGAAATGTCTGATTCCACCCAGCTGCCTCTTCTTTTGGGTTATCTGCAGAACAGGCAGCCGCCCAGGGAATCAAAAGAGCCATCGTTCTTTTATGGTCACTGAGAGGCAACATGGACACTAAACAGAGAGATTTGGTATAGCAGTAGTTACAGAGTTATTAGAGCTGAATGAGTTTGACATAATTTATGATTTGACAGAAGAATTAAAGAAAACCAACTGTTGCTGTTTCTGTGGTCTTTTAAATTTTAACCCTGACACTATAATTGCAGTCAGTAATAAAAACAGTTAATCAACCTTGTGATGAAATCTTGATTAATGGTTTGGATTTCATTCTTTAACATATTCTTCCATTCTAAATATAGTTTTTGAGTCACAATCTTTTTCTCCTGATATAAAATGTATATATTTTACTTAATCTTCCCATATTGTTTAACCAATAGTAGCAAAGATGTGGTTTTGAGGTTTTCCTGCAGAAATGAAATCTATGATTTTCTTCCAAAACAATATACTGAAAGTATTCTGTTGCAAAATGTTTAGGTTCTTTATTGGCTTCTGTGAGTTTTACTAGGATACTTAGCTTGCATGTCATTTGCCTGGGGTAAGAACACCACCAACCCTAACAGGCTCCTGTCCTTGAGTCCAAAATAAGGCAGCACGAAAAGGTTTCAGGGCCAGGGTTGGAGGAATACTTGTTTTCCTTCTCCCTCCTACACAGCATTATCTTTTAGCAGGGAAAATGAACTGCCAATTGCTGTCCTTGAGCCTCTGCTCTGCTGGCTCTAGTATTTCTGAAAGCCCTTTTCATCGAGTCACATGTTTCACATAGCGCGGTGTGCTTCAGCCCTTTAATTCTGATCAGGGCTCTGAAAATCATGCAATGGTTTTTAAAGCCTTAGCCATATGTGCATCAACTTCTTGACAGAACTTTTAAAAACCAGTGTCTGACTCCTGACCTGGAAGAAGAGAAGCTCCTAGATGACAGCTAGCCCTTGGGCACAAGGGGGCTGCCACATGAACCCTGCCAAGATTTTAATTTTGCATCCCAATGGAAATACTGATCTTGTGGAAGACCCACAACTGTGCTCCCATGCTTGAACAATAAAATAGGAAAAAACAGTGTGTCAGTATGGCAACCAGAGCAAGAATGGCAGTGGAGATGTAAAAACCACCAGCCAGATAGGAGGGGGCAGTCCTGGAACAGGCCAACTGAAGCTAGTAGACCGTTGACCTCTGAACGGTTCTCCTCCACACATCCTAGAATGTCCACACAGGAAGTTTTCTGCCAGCACATTAATTCCATTCCAGAACACCTTAGCTTGACTTCAGTCTGCTGCTGGGTAGACACAAGAGAGTGCCTCTGTTGTGATACCATGCCCTAGCAAACCGTTAATGAGGCACCTTTGCACATGAAACCAGAATGAACCCTACAATGTTGGATTACCATATTTTTTGCTTCTATGATCTATCATTTTGAGCAAATACTAGAAGACATGCGAATATACTATGTGGCTATTATTTAACTCACCTGGGACAAAGCTCATATGAATGGTTCGGGAAAAATGTCTTCCTTCAGCTTTCAGCCTCCGTATGGCTTCTATGTATCTGAAAGGGGAAAAAAATGCCTTATTTAGTGGCTCATTAAAAAGATAACATAGTGTCTTTAAGGAAAAGGCGTGCATATGTGTTGATGATGGATGTTGGATATTAGAAAGGAGCAAACACTGCTAGCCAGAGCCTGGATCAAAATCCCCTTAATTCTAAGACAGGTCTTGCAGGGCAAAGCAGGAGCCAGGTGTTCATACAGAGGGCAAAAGGTTAAATATCTATTTCCTGCTTGCAAAATTTAACCAGGCATCATTAGGCCACCTTATGAATGCAGCAGCAGTCTGCCAATTTCAGCTTGTCTTTTTGGCCAATGAGATATATTTTTTATATTTTTATTTAATTGCATTAATAAACAGAAATGAAGGAAAAAGATACAAAAATAAAAACAAACAGAAAAAAGGGGAAAATAAGATAAAAGATGAAAACATTACAATGTATATAAAAAGCATCTTTTAAACACAGCATTAAACTTGAACACATGGAGTAATATTGATCAGTTTTTCCAATAAATTGATAGGCAGCCAGTTTATAAGCAGAGAATGAAATCATTAACCCTGGATTATAACCCTTCCTACTGAAAAAGAGTAATATTTTTTGCTTGATAAATTCAGGAACCTGCATATACAGGTAGTCCTTGTTTAGCAAACATAATTGAGACTGGCAACTTGATTGTTAAGTGAAGCGGTACTTAAGTGAAACATTGCGATTTTACAATCTTACTTCAGTTTTCCTTTGCTTCACCAACTTACAAAGGTCGTAAATGTGAGGACTGGTGGCAAAGTTTCATCACTGTTGTAACTGCGAACAGTCTCTAAACGAGGCAGTCACTAAACGAGGACTATTTGCAACAATAAATTCCAAATTTGGAGTATATAATTCAGAATCACATGTATGTCTTTAAACCAAATTACTCTTTCCAAAACCATATTAACAAACTTGTGGATATTAAACCACAATGGGACAATAGCAGAGCAAATTCATCTTGCATGTCTAAATTATGCCTCCATTATTTTATACTTTCAGAATAGTGAAATTAACTGTCCACCCTTTCATTTTTTTTCCTGAGATGTCCAATAAATATGAAAAAATCTTTTCTATATTAATTTTATCTTAAAATAATAAGTATAATTAATCTTCTTTAAAACCCTTAATCACTGATTTGTTAATATGGGGTATTGCAACTGAGTTCTTTAAAAAATTAATAACCACCTGAACAATACTCTTTGTCAGTTAAAATACTATAAATTTGGGATCATCCGTAAACAGCTCAGTGCTAACAGTAATTCAGGAGTTTTAGATGCTGGTAATGTATAAAATTGCCAATCAAGACACAGCTATTCAATACATGGTACAAAGACAGAATAGCTAAGAAAACAAACAAATGGATCATTGAACAAATCAATTCAGATTTCTCACTTGAGGCACAAATGACCAGGCTCAAATTATCCTACTTCAGACACATTATGCAAAGACCTAGCTCTCTGGAGAAGATTCTAATACTGGGAAGGGTGGAAGGAAAGTGAAGATGAGGATAACCAGCAACAAGGTGGATGGACTCAGTTAAGGTGGTGATAGGTGCACTGTTAGAACACCTGAAAGAAGAGGTTAGGGACAGATTATCATGGAGTAAGTCCAGGCTCAAATTATCCTACTTCAGACACATTATGCAAAGACCTAGCTCTCTGGAGAAGATTCTAATACTGGGAAGGGTGGAAGGAAAGTGAAGATGAGGATAACCAGCAACAAGGTGGATGGACTCAGTTAAGGTGGTGATAGGTGCACTGTTAGAAGACCTGAAAGAAGAGGTTAGGGACAGATTATCATGGAGTAAGTCTATCTATGTTGTCACTAAGAAACAACATCAACATGATGGCACATAATCAATCAATCAGTCAAAACAAAGACAGAGACATTGTTGCTTAACAGGATCAAGTTATTTACTGATTTCCACCACTTTCACAGGCATAACTAAAATGTCCTTTGTGTGGATTACTCTCTTGGCCATGTCCCTTCTCTTCCATCATTTTGCGAGACAAAATGCCAAAGCAGCTTTCCTTATTAATAATTGCCTTTTGTACTGCCTAGAACAGAACTAGAAGGATAAAATGCGTTACACATACTGGATAGATACACATTTCATATCTTGAGCTCCCCGCCCATAGATATTTCCCTCAGAGTCCTTGAAAGCTGAAAAGGGATCATACTGCCAATACTCCTGTAGGAAAGAAAATGAAACAATTAGAAAAATGTGAGTGGATAAGAAATGAAGCTTTGCCCATGGGGCAGCCTGCTAAGACAGTAAAGGAAAAGCCTGAGTGTTTTCAGTGACACTCTACTGGGAACAAATCAAGATAAACCTTCAAATTTCCTAACTTGAGAAATATCATCTAGGAGACCTTTGAAAAGCTTGCTACTGAGTTCAGCAGTGATGGCTTTTGGAAATGTGCATTTTGGATTCTCTGTTTGTGTGGCACTGGTTTATCCAATATAAATGATATGGCAGGAAGCTGCAAGGTGGCCAAGAGCAAGATAATCATGATGGCATCATGTTAACTGCCTCCTTTTATCATAACTGAAGTTGTGAGTCTGCAGATTTTCTATGGTAACTTAAGTGAAGCTGGAGAACTTCATTAAGATGCAAATGTCCTCTTAACACCTTGATCACTGTTCTAGTCAGGCAATCCACACAGTAACTCCAAAGTGGTTAATTTTAATCTCTGTCAGAAAACATGGTCCAATTGTGAAGCATCCTAAGAAAGATTAGGAAATTAATCTTTAATTAAAGCAAATTAAAGTACCACTTTCATCTCAGTACTTCTGCCTGTTGGAAGCATGATCTTTGTAAAGCTCAGTCAGCTACTTCAATAAGTCAAGTGGCCAGGATCCAAAGGAAT